TGATCAAATTGTACCACATCTATTAAATCAGACAAATTTTACAGAGACGTTTTCTCTTTTTGAGCAGTAACAAATTATTCTTATGCTGGTTTGGTGACAACTGTTGGTCACATAGTCAGCACCCAAAGCAAGAGGATTTCCTTAGAAACCCAAACTGTATGCAAATAAAATAATCATTACAGTACAGTGATGTACAAAATTTGACATTCATGTTCATTTTTATTGGTGCATTACAGCATTTACATGTCCTTTACATTAAGAGCACAAAATTAAAAAGACACTGATCTACAAAGACGCCTTTTCTTTGTCAACAAAGATCTAGAATTGCAGTTCCTCTTCATTATTCTGGAGGTTTTACATCATTACTTCCTCTGTAAAATTTCATTATATGAAAATAAACACTTCTGCATGGTTTACTTTATGAGTTTCAGTGTAATCACCTCTATTAAAAGCACTTTTTTTCTTTTACTGTATTACAGAAATTTCTTCCAACCCTTTGTTTAGCAATAGACTCATTTTTATCAGAATGAATAATACCACATTCTAGAAGATTCAGAATCTCAGCTAGAGAAGATCCTTTGAATCAATGGAATCTTGGTAAATTAATATGTATGTAAATGTTATTGATTCAGTGGGTCTACTCTAGTTGGGAGTAGCAACTGGATTATTCACCTTACTATTATTTAGGAATCATTAAATGGTTTACAAGTCTTCAAATTATATCCAGAGGAAAAAAGGTGAGATGTTTGGGGTTTGGTAGCTTACTGTACCAAGCTCTGCCTTCTTCCAAGACATAACAAATTAATACAAAATTTTGGAACAAAACTCATATATTCCCATTGCAGAATTACACAGCACAACATGTACTGATACAGCAGTAAGAAACATTCTAGCTTCAGCCTGTGACTAGAAAACAAGGGTAGCAGCTTTTGTCAAGGAAGAAAGATTTTTTATAAGGAACTGATGGCCATTCATAATGACAGATCCTATCTTAAAATTGTTATGTAATTCAACCCACTGTCAAAATTTCAGCAGAGTGGTGGCTAAATTAAGATTAATACTGTGGATACTGCACTGCATAGTGATACATCCCTCCTCCTGCCCCAACATTTTGTCAATGGCAGTGCAAGCCACAGAGAATACCTTGAGGTGGCATGGCGAAAGTCAACTACAGTGGTGCCTCGCTTAGCAACGATAATCCGTTCCAGGAAAATCACCGTTAAGCAAAAACATCGTAAAGCGAAATAAAAAAACCCACTGAAACGCATTGAAACCTATTCAATGCATTCCAATGGGGTAAAAACTCACCGTCCAGTGAAGATGCTCCGTACGGCGGCCGTTTTCTCTGCCTGTATAGTGAGAAATCCGTCCCTAAAGACAGCAGGGAGTCATTTTAATTACCCGGCGGCCATTTTGAAACCGCCAATCTGCTGTTAGAAAAATGCCATTTTGCGAAGATTCGGTTCCCGAAGCAGGGAACCGATCATCGCAAAGCGAAATTCCCCCATTTAGACCATCGTTTTGCGATCGCAAAAAGATCATCGTAAAATGGATTCGTCGTAATGTGGGGCAATCGTAAAGTGAGGCACCACTGTATTCTGCATAGTGAAGTGTGGAACAAGTGGCTTGTTATTAGAAAGCTGCCTTCTTGCTTTTGAAGTGGAACCACACAGAGTTTGTTCCTGTGAGCTGGGAAATGATGGGCACTCTGAAAATGGAATTAAACCATCCTTTCAAATTCATCACTATACATTGGCGCATCACAACTCTCAGATTTGCCTCAATAAGCCCTTGTAAAATACTGAGATGTACCAATGGAATCATTTTCAGGGTTAATCCCAAAAATGCTAACTTGTGTAGGGTGCACATAGTAGGAATGATAGAATATGGTAAACCTGCCCCTCCAAAAAAAAAGTTGGAGTGAAATAAGGAAAGGCACACCATTGGGTAGCAATCTCATCCATGTTCAATTCAATTTATCAGGATAGCAGAAGGCAGAGGCAGTTAAAAATCTCCAGGAAAGTGTTATTGTCTTGTTCCTAAGGGTAGATATCCATAACAAATGCTTTGGATGTCTCCAAAGGTAGCCAAGACAAATTAAAACTCAGAACAATCCTATAATTGTCCCTTTACTTTTACTTAGCATAAATTACACACCTGGATTTTCAGCAGTTCATTTTATGCACATAATTTGTTGTTGTTTAGTCATTAAGTCATATCCAACTCTTCGTGACCCCATGGACCAGAGCACGCCAGGCCCTCCTGTCTTCCACTGCCACCCGAAGTTTGGTCAAATTTATGTTGGTAGCTTCAATAACACTGTCCATCCATCTCATCCTCTGTTGTCCCCTTCACCTCTTGCCTTCACACTTTCCCAACATCAGGGCCTTTTCCAGGGAGTCTTCTCTTCTCATGAGATGCCCAAAGTATTGGAACCTCAGTTTCAGGATCTGTCCTTCCAGTGAGCACTCAGAATTGATAGGTTTGATCTCCTTGCAGTCCAGGGGACTCTCAAGAGTCTCATCCAGCAACACAATTCAAAAAGTACATGCACATAATAATACATAGTTAAAACAACCCCACAGAATTAGAGCACCTCTCCAACAGAACTCATTCTGTAATATTTTCTTTAAAATACAGATATAGGACCAGTAGGAAAACATCACTCCTCATAATTACAGAATGTGAAAGTATTGATCATACAAGCAGTTGCTTCTAAACCTCATTAGATAGAAAAGGGTTATGATGACATTGCATATTTATTGATTAAAGGCAAATCCTGATACTTTTCTGGTGTGGCATCAATTCATATTTCCCCCTTCTTGTCAGACATGCAATGGTTGTAGACATTCCCATATATTTTTGATGGAATATTGAGAAATATCAAAGTCTGTTTCTTATTACATTCTACAAGGTTGTTTACAATAGAAAGCATCTCCAATTTCTGGTATATGTTTCAGTACATAGGTGAGTACATCCTTTTTCTGAGTATCTGCTGGAGATGGGAAGAATAATTCTTTTGGGCTAGATCTCCCAGAATACACAGACTCTGGTCCAAAAAAGTACCTTTTCCCATCTCTGGTAGGTGTAATTATTTTTTTGTAATGGATTCATTTTTCAGAGGATTTCTCAAAAACCTTTCCCCAAAGACCTGTTGCCAATCAATAATTCATGTGGGGTGGGGAAAGTTACTAAAATGCAAAACTTTCTGCATTGCAGAGAAAAATGACCCCTAGGCTATGAGGCACATGTATATGGCAGCAACCCCTTTGAATCTAAAGCATCGTAATGCTTTAGATTCAAAGGTCTAATGTACTGATCAAAGCTGCCTCCATTAGTCTAGCTAGCCAACCAATTAAGTAAAAAAAATCCATTGCCTCATTATTATATGAAACACCTGCTTTCATAATATTCTTTTCAGGACATTTCTTAAAAAGCAAACTAGGAAATTATCAGGATTTTCCTTCTTCTTGTCATCAAAGCAACATCATTTCACTTCAGTGGAACACTAGCTGAAAGAACTAATGGAGGCGATGGCTGAAGAGTAAAGATAGCTCATGTGGGTATGCTACTTGTGATGGCTCTTTCCCGGGAAAGGTGAAAAGAGACTTTTAGACATACATCTGTGGCTGCTATGGGAACAAGATACACAAGGCAATGCCCAGGACCAGTTTGAATACACTTTGTAATAAATATGTTGGAGCTAGGGGAACGTGGTACTGTGAGGATGCATGAACCAAGGCAAGGTGGGGAAATGGACTAAGTTTGAATAAATTTCTTTCCTTCACTACAAATCCCATTATTTCCCAGCCAGCATGTAGTCTAAAAAGTAACTCAGAACTCTGAAAAAAAATTCCTACATGCTTTCCTATGCATCACTTCACTGGTTAGGAACCAATGACTTCAGGAAATTTTGCAGAGAAATCCATGATCTAGAGAAGGATTTATAAACTAGTTAACATGCTGCAAACTCTCTTGATAAATGCAATGTGCATGACAGTGAAATACTATGGCAGGTTCATGAACCCAGAGTAGATTTCTGTCTGCTCTCTGCTTGTTACAAGGAGACAGACTTCCAATGTTTTCTACAATCTTGCATTATAATGTGCCAAAGGATGCTTGAGAGTGATGGAATTCATCTATGGCATCATGCTTTTCTTGGGGTCTTTTCAGCCACAAGTTATGGAGTGAGGCCTACAATTATTAGCAGCTGAGCTATCAATTGTCCCTTCATGCTTGCATGGGTAGTAGTCATGAAACAGCCTTCCAAATGGGGTGCTCAACTTCAGGACAGCGGATGCAACAGACAAAATTTGAAACAGAAAGAAAAAAATTACCATGTGAAAGCACTTACGGAAGGAGACAATCTTTCCACAGTGAGGCAGCCAACGCTTCAGCAAGAGAAACTATTAAACAAATATGACTGTGGATCACATATTCATATACAAAACAGCCTTTTGTCATGTTCACAAATCTAGATGTTGTTGCTTTTAAAAGGATCACAAGGTTCTGTTTCGAAATCAGTTGTTTAGCTTGAAAGGAAATTACTACAGTGCTCTCCAGGAAGACACGCACACACACACACAAACAATAACATGTTAATACAGAGTGTCCAAGTGATCCTTTCCAAGGTATATTATTGCCAGCTGACAGCTTCCACAGCTTTGCATGACCATGCTGTCAAGATCTTCTTCAGGAATGATATACGGCTGTAATCTTAGCCTTCTCCAGTTCTCAGGTTTTTGTATATTTAAAACTATTATTTCATTGTAGCTATCTCAAAATAGCCCTGCCAAATCTGATGGGCAGGACAAAGAAAAAAAAAATTCACATTGCCATGTGTTAGGCAACCAGGAGATAGGCAGCAGGTTGTTGTAATTGCATACCAAGTTACGTGATACAAAAGAAATAAACCTTTTTGATACATGTTGAAGGTCTGTAGAGAGAGAGCTGAGAAAAATCTAACCCAGCTCAGAATGTTTATCGCTTCTTAGTAGAAAGCCTTCACCACCCCCTTATGGTCCATGGCAGTCAGAACTGGTCCTGGGCCAAGTCCATCCTCTTCTACAGCCACAGGTTCATTGGTGGCTTTGGGTAATCCATCCTTTTCCAGCTTTGGTCACCCATCTATAAAATGGGGAATAATAATGACCTACTTGTCGGGGCCGTTGCAAGTATGAATGAGATACAAAAAGTAAAAGTGCTATATAAACAAGGATAAGTCATAAGTAAAACCATCTCGAAGTTGTTGGTTTTGTCTCTTATGTAATGTTCGCACTTGCTGGCAACATTCTGTGATTTTCCTTGTTTTAAATGATGCAGAGAAAGAGGATAGGATGGGGAAGAATCTAAGAAGAGTGGACAAAGGTGGATGAATATAAAGAGAAGGTTCTGGAAATGTAAAATGAGATTATCGCAGAATCACAGCTGTTAAAAGACATTAATTATGCAGAAAGACCACTTTGAATTGGCGGAATGTATGAAAGGGCTAAAAGTTCGTCCTGCATGTGTATTAGTCATACTGGACCTTCCGTTATCCCTTCCAGTGGCAGGCTGGTAGCATTATCTGCTGTAGGGGTCTCTTCTTTTTTCAGTGATGTCTGAACTAGCAGGCTGACATACGGCTTGTGACAAGCCAAGTTACCCAGCGGAGGGTAATGCTGTCTGTAGCAAATGTAAGCAAATATGAGGCCAATGACTCCTCCAACAAAAGCATCTAGGAGGAGGGGAAAACAGAAAGAGACATTGAAACAGATTAGCAAGAACAACTGTTTGCTGGGGTTAACATTTTGGCAAAACATATACAACCACGTCTTTCCTAGTTTTCTCTATAAATTGCTGCTCCAAAGCAATGTCAGACACTACAATGGCAACAGAGTTACACTGCCTAATGCTGCTTACAGTGCTTCTGTTCCTGCATGCAACCACTGAATAAGCCTACCAGGCACCAAGCATGGGCATTTACCATGGGATCTCTCAAAGTACAGCTGGTAGGCTTATTCAGTGGTTGCATGCAGGAACAGAAGCACTGTAAGCAGCATTAGGCAGTGTAACTCTGTTGCCATTGTAGTGTCTGACATTGCTTTGGAGCAATAAAACAGCTTGAAAGGGGAGAAGGGAACGCAGACTCAGTTTATGACACATATGCCTTCAGAGAAAACATCTCTCTCCATCCCTCATCACTTTCAAAGGATGACGAGGATTATATGCCCTTAGAGGAAAATAGATATTTTGCAGTGCACACTCCCATGCATTTGCCAGCAACTCCTAAAACCCAGCAGCCGGTGGCCATACTGGGAGTTGTAATTCAAAAAAATCATGTGGCGTTCACATGATCAGAAGTCCTGCCTTAACAAACCTGCCAATCACACCAGCGCTGTAAGCACACTCAGGCAGATATTCTTCCAGGTACCTCTTCAGACCTTTCCATCTGAGGAGCCATGGAGCACTGTGGGAAGGACATACAGTACTTGCATCTCTCCAACCCTATCATGCTCAAAGGCAAACACAGTCCCAGGTTATAATGGGTGAATAGGGCCATGGTTAAAATAGGCCCCAAAATAAATGTCCTGCAATTAACATGTTTTCTCTCCAGCAGTGGGCTTTCCCCAGAGATATATACCTTAGCAATCAGACCTGCAAAATAAGCTCCTGTTTACTTTCTAATCATAGAAGCACGATAATAATTATGAGCCATCAAATCAATTCTGACTTATGGAGATCCTTTTCAGGGTTTTCCAGGTAGAGAATAATCAGAAGTGATGTACCATTTCCTTCTTCAGGGGGCACCCTGGGTCTGTGCAGCTTGCCCATGGCTACATAGACTGGCTCTACTCACAGGAGGCACAGTGCGGGAATCCAACACCCAACCTCTGGCTCCGTAGCCAGATACCTAAACCACTGAGTTATTCAGCTCATAGAAGCATGGCCTAATGACTTGAATAACATCACATATTATGCTTTGGGGCCCATTAGTGTGCCATTTAGTTTGGCCCAGTGGTTCATCATTAAGTTTAAAAGTATTGTAATTTTTAAAGCTTTTAATATTTCTTATTTTAAATACTGCAAGCCACCTTTGATCCTTTTTAGGAGACAGGCAGCATACATTTTTTAAGTCGTAGCCTACCTTTACATAACAATTCCATATCATGCTTCAAAGAGTTCTAGTGCTTTTGAAGCCAGATGGACAGGAGCCAATGAGGCTGAGAAAAAAGAGAGCAGTGTTTGTCTCACCCAAACTCTTAAGGCCAATTTTGGGTTACTCTTGTTTTTTAGAAATTCCCTTGCACTGAAACCATGAATATGCTCCAATCATCATAAACCGAGACTTTCCTGCTTTACCCTCTGACCCCCTTTGGTAGCCTCCGCTTTCCAAACTGTAAAAAATAAATGGACTTGGAGTTTCCTATGGTGATTCGGGAGGAGAAATGGAATGTCGGGTTCCTGCCTCCATGGGTGGAACTTTCTTTCCAACCTTGAAGGCAGAGATGCAAAAAAAAGAAAAGAAAAAAAAAGGTATGACTCTTGCAACACCCTCCCACAGAACACAGGTGGCAGCTCAAAGATGCTGGATACAAGGGACACTTTAGTCTAACAAGCAATGACTGTACAGAAACAAAACAAAACAAGTTTAATTCAATAACCAGTGAAACACAACCTCTCTCTGAACAGCACTCATTTTTCCCACTTTTATTAAATTCCCTTGCAGTTATCTCTGCACTCACATGGACAACGTCAGCTATTTATCAGTAGTTTTAATGGCTTGGTTTCATTGTCTTAAATATAACAAATGAAAACATTAGTCCAAGATATCCTCTATGTGTTATGTGTGTTCTTTTTTTAAACTGCAAGGGAGCTTTCCTTACAAAATTACAAGGAAAATCAAATACAAAGCTTAATACATACCATGTTTATGATCTCTTTCCTCAGCCTTTCGAAAGCTCCTGTACAATGCTGTTTCATTAAATAACTAATATTGCCTTGTTTTCCTCTCTACTTACATTTTGCATTCAGACTATTTAGCATTTAGAATGACTTCCCCATCCTCTACCAGGGGAATCTCTTCCCTCACCCAGAAAATAAATAGTGTTCCAAAGAACATCAAACAAATTTAACACAAGCAAATACTGAAGATCCACTGGTACTCTGTATGCATTGCAGGTTGTCCCTGACAACTACCATACGATTATGAAATAGTAATCTCAGCATGCTAGAAAAATATGTATAACTGTATCAACAGCTTATGTCCACTGCTGCACCAGCAGCTGTCTGCTAACATGATAGGGCCTTTCTTTCTATCACCTTCCCTCGTCAACATCACGCAAACCAGTTCAACAATACCGAATCTTTTTTTAAAAAAAACAAGAAGCCATTCTAGTCACTTCCAGTTTTGGCAAGAAAAATAAAGCTGCTCACAAGGGGATAAAAATATGATGAAATTGTAGATTTGGCCACAGACATGAGCATGCACAGCCCCAGACTAGAGATGGGGGTATTCATATTCGTATACAAATACGCTTGCACAGCTGGACTTAACAAGGGTCTGGCCCCTGGATCTGGACTGTCCACTCATGCATCCGCTGCCACCAGCAGCCTTAGCCAGCCTTCCAATCACTCCCGGAGTGCCGCTCTCTTTCCGCTCATCTAGACACTCAGCAGTCGTGCAGGGACACTCATCCTCCCTCCCCCTGCCTGGAGCTGACTAGATAGGTGGAAAGAGAGAGCACTCCGGGAGCGATTGGAAAGCTGACCAGGGCTGCTATCGCTGCCAGACGCATGAGTGGGTTTTGTTTTGTTTTTTGTATTCATATATGAATACAAATACCCCCCTCTCTACCTCAGACGTGTGAAAACTGCCCATTCCTGAATGACAGCTGCGACCAGAAGGGAATAACAAAAATTTACAAGTAAAAGTGCCATTCTCGATGACTTCTCAGAAGTAGCATCTCAAGATATGTTACATATTACATGCCCCGTGTATTGTGCAGCTACCTTTTACTTTACTTAACAAAAGGCATGTGTAGAACCTGAATACTATGAATACTATCTGTGGTATCCTGTTGCAAAATGAGCAGCATAGCTAATCCATGGCGGTGTCTGCTCTACATGTTCTGCTTTAGCTCACAGTTGCACAAGCCAGAGATTTTGGTGATTGCAGCAATAGGCTTTCACTTCAGCAGCCGGGCAGTGAACACCTCCTTGTACAAACATCAGGAAACAACTACGCATGTACTGGACTGTCATGTACAGAAAAAGCAAACATTACTCTGCCCTATATTTTTTTCCCCTGAGTATATTTTCATGCTCTTCTATCGGGAATTTTACTGCATTCCTGTGAGTTAAAAAAAAAGCTTTGTGAAGCAGATGTTTTGTGATGTTATGTGAAGATATGTTATAAGATGTGTTTTTAGACAATATTGAACTTCTATCACATTAAATATCATGGCACAGGTCATTAAACTTGAGTGTACCTTTAAGCATGTGAACAGTTATGATGATCTTGTTCAGCATATTTAAGCCTACCCATTCTTTAACATAAGAGCTGTGCAGAAATATCTAAGGAGAGCTTGGATTACAACAGGCTGTGAGGAAAAACAGTCTCATGGTTGAAATAGGGGCCAACAAATTAAATGGAAATCTGTATTATTTTAAAACCTTTTTAAAAAGCCAGAGGAATGCATTTATTTACAATTATTCTGAATATTTCAAGTATTTTTAATTTCAAGTGATATATGGGAAACTATGTGCTATTTAATACTCCATGACTAACCCATTTTATTTCATAACACATTTCACACACTATTCATAGTGTTACCCAAAATCAATTCCAATTGCTTGACATTTTCTAATGGTTCAGCTTAGGCTTCTAAAGGTAAACGCTGAGCATAACATTAGCTTGCCCTTAAAATTTCATTAAAATTGGTTAAACACTCTGGCTCCCTGTGCAAATACAAGCTGTTCAGAAACTGGCATGAGTCTGTGTGGACGCAACCCTTTGTTTTAGGGTTAAGACTCAAGTGTATGGAATGGGAATTGGGAATGGTCAGATTTTGATCCAACGGGTTGAAAAGCATAAAACATTCAAACAAACTCAAATCTTGGATTTATCTCCCTCTTAGGTTTATGGTCTTATGTTCTGTTAGAGCAGTAGTTTCCAACCTTGAATCCCCAGACGTTATTAAGACTAAAACTCCAGAAGCCTTCACTATTAGCTGGACCGGCTTTCAAGGAGTTGTAGTCCAAGAACATCTGGGGATGCAAGGTTGGGGACCATTGTTAGAGGACCTATGGGAGGGGGAAAAGGAGCTGACAGTAGCTGAAAATTAAAGTGTGAATCCAATTGGACTATACTTTCTTTCTCCACACCAAAGGCCGATTGATCAGATAATATGCAACTAAAGAAATACATTAGACTCTTATATGTCTTTTGAAATATGGAAGGAGCTCCAGCATTTTAGCAAGGACAGGGCAGTATATTCTGGCTGCTCTTTGGCAGGGGGAGGTTTTACTAAATGATGCCATATCTGATGCACCAATAAAAGTATGCCCATCATGATTTCTTCTGCATTTTATTGACAGGAAAAATGCAGACTAATGATCCAGAAGCAGAAGGCATGTGCATGATGCATAGGACAATGTTCACATCCTCCCTTTGTCAAATGTCCTGGATGACCCATGCTTGTAAAAGACATAGCATTCTGGGACACTGGAGGAATG